AGGCCCGAAACGTCAGCCTTTCTGCTCCTATGATGCTGCTTGGCCTGCTGTGTTCATCCAGCCCTGCACCTTGTTGTCTCGGATTCTCCAGCATCTGCAGTTCCTACTAACACTGTTGGAGGACTGCTATACTTCTAAATCTATGATTGATATTAAATTTCTCTTTTACTGATACTGACTTTTACAGACACATTGTAAGCAATTTAAACAAAAAAAAAGTACTACCTGAAGCATTCTTGCCATCTCTTTCTATCCAATACTTCAACAGTGCGTGGCTCTGGTCTACCAATGAATTTGGGTTTTCAATTCTGATTTGGTGGATCTGTTCCTCACTGAAATCCAGATCCCTGGCCAGCTCTAAAATAAAAGCAAAAGTATTTACAAACAATATACACAGAATTTACTAGGGACTCTTTTTAATAAATAGCATTAAAAACATTGTAAATGCAGGCATGCAATTACTTTCAAATTATTGCAAATGCTATGCATTCTGCCAACCTATTCTTTTCCCCTCAAACTCCAAACTGTTCTCAAAAACTCAAGGTTATAACATAAGTGTCAAGTTTATCAAGATATTATTTCCAAGTGATAGCCAGATAAATTCTCTATCTATTGCGTATCATGAAGATCCCAAGGAGATTTAACTTAATTTCTAATTGAGAGAAAAGGACTCTTCCTTGAATGAGGAGGATTATTTATTGTCCTTCAGGAACGTTTTGGGACAATCCACAGGTAGCGATTGTAACTTATGGTTCATGCAACATTAATCAATAAAGGCAACTATATTCAGAGATTGCTCCAATTTTGACTAAGATTTCACCCCATATTTTCCACATATAACATGATATTTCTACAACTTCATAATGGGGATATCTTCGTTCTTCATAGGGTATTGACTCTGCACATTTTCTAGCATCTCAAAAGAGACTTTCTAGCCATTGCTAATTAACGGATGATAAATGTAGCTCCTCATTTCCAAAATGAATGCCCACAAAACAGAGCAACGATGAAATAATCCAGTTGTCAATGTAAAACTAAGAATATTAATCTTTTGTTTAAACAGGACAATAAACTGGACAAAAAAATCAAATGGAAGCTGAGCTAGAGACTCTGACGCACTGATGCTCTGAACAGAAGTATAATTCAGGCTGCAATAAATTGAGTCAGTTTTATAGCACATGTAGCATTTAGAGATAGTTTATTAGAATTTCAGTAAAAGTTAATGGTCTAGAAATTCTGTAGAGGCTCTCTTCATTTCCTGCTAGAAATTCAATGAGCGACTGGCAGAATTCCCAAGAAATGAGTTAATTACTGCTTTGACCACTTCTTCAGGAGTTCTGCTGAATTTATAATGAGCACTTGGGAAATTCAGGATCTAAAAAGCAGTCAGTAAAAAGTAACTCTTAGACTAACAGCTTACATTATGTGGATTGAGATGAAGCAGCCCACGACAGTTAGTATATTAAGAAGCATTTTAAAAAGTCCTTTTTAAATCTGTCAATTACAGTTGAGAAACAAGTACTACCTGCTCTTTCATTCATGCATTCATTGATATTGCCAATCATATCTTAAATGGGAGTTATTGAGGGCAACAGCATGACCAATTACCAGTTGAAGAGGCATCACTGATCATGGAAATGTCAATGCCTATGTCATTGCAACTATAGGCTAGATTTCATGAGATGTTGCCTTGGGGTAAAAATCTGGGTGGTGTTGGGGGAGAGCAGGATGCGGGGAAGTGGTGGTTGAGGTCACCAAGCTAAAGAACAGCTGCTCCATAGCCACTTAATAACCAACTGGCCATTAATATATTTGAGGTGACACTTCCGTTCCTCAAGGGCATCAAAATGTAGCAACATGAAATACGGGAGCAGGAGTAGGCCATTCAGTCTTTTGGGCCAGCTCCACCATTCAATAGAATCATGACTGATCATCCAGATCAGCACCCTGTTCTGCATTTCTCTTCCTATCCCTTGATTCCTTTAGTCCTAAGAACTGTAACTACATCTATTTTGAAAATCTTCGATGTTTTGGCCTCAATAGTTTCCTGTAGCAGCGCATTCCACATGTTCACATCTCTGGGTGAAGAAATTCTTCCTCATCCATGACCCAAAAGGTCTATTCCTTATCCTTAGACTGTGACCCTTGGTTCTAGACTCCCCTGTCATTGCGAACATCATTCTTATGTTTACATTATCTCCCCTGGGCAAGAAGACCTGCCTCAGAGAACTGCCAGGCAAACAGAGGCTTGCAAATCTCCAGCACCAGCAGCACCACTGGGAGAAGTGGCTACTGTCAGTACAGCCCTCAGAGTTTGAGGGAGGCAAGCTATGTTACATCGTGACAACTGAGGTTTTGCCAGGTAGGAGCAAATTATTGCAGATGCTGGAATCTGTCCTGAAAACAACAACAGCCAGGCTCTGACAACATGGTTGAGGGGTCAGGGTTTGACAGGCCTCAGAGGACAGGGGAGCTTTGGTGAGGGTAACGCCTTGCAAGGGCACTCCTACTGGCCCAAAGACTTATTAAGGGCGAATCCCCTTTCTGACCACCACTGGCCTGGGCAGGGAAATCTCCAGTTAAATCCCAGTGGCGATGGGACAAAGTCCTAGAAGTGGACAATGAAGCGGGCCTGAATTGGCACACGACCTCCACCGCTGGTATATTCCGATGGAAGCAAGATCGGGATGGATAAACTGCAGACTGACTGAAGCCTCACTTCCAACACGTTGGATTTTAGGCCTCACTGTCTCCACACCCATTGACAGGGGTGAGTAAAAATTACTCCCATACGTTCGATTAATTCTTCCACTACGTTTTCCCAAGGGGATTCTCCCCCTTCCCTAAGATCACATCAGTACTTCTTATTTAAACAAACACATTACATAATTAAATCACTATTACTGCAGAGAACAAAGGAAAATTAAACAGAATTCTTTGTAATAGCATTTTGTGGAATGGGGTACAGAAATGCCATGCTTTCTTGAAAAAAAGGGTTGGAATGATGGAGTAATGGCAGCTTTAATCTCAGGGTTGAAATGATGGGTACAAACCATGTACTTGTAGTTTAAAATGTAGATCCATTCCACCTTCATCACACCAAGTGTTGTATTTAATAATTTGCAAACTACCAGAAACATGTAGCACCAGTTTTGAAAAATAATGGCTATTGTGGACTACACAGCTACCACATGTACAATAATTTACAAAAGCAGAAGAAAATTCATAAATGCTAATCTTTTATGTTAGGGTTTTGGTTATGAAGAGTCTTGTTCCTCCACTGAACGGGGTGCTGAGTAATGTGGGTGCTAAGTAGATTTATAAATAGCATTCCCAAAACAGTGAACTTTCAGACTCAGCTGTGCCAATATGTGACAGTAGAGAGAGGAACCCAGACAATTCAAATTCAACAAGTAGTTGATCAATTAAACTAATGCAATTCTCCCTATAAGCATTTACAGAAGAAACAAATGGACCAAATCATATTGTCAACTGCATAACGGTGTGTGAAATGTGGAAACTAAAAGAAGAAAGGGAAAAGGCAAAACAAACAAAAGTGAGCCCATTATTTGATCTCATTTCAACTGGTAGTCCAATCTTCAATAGAGGCATTGTTCTGAAATTAATGCACAAAGATACTACTTTATGAGTTTTACCTGTCCAGCTGAATCCAAGATGGTCAGCAATAAGGTACAGCCTTTGCTCAGCTCTTTCAGAGTCCTCCTGAGCATCTACAGCTTAAATTAAGAAAAGAAGAAACAGCAACAACTTGCGTAAAACAGTTAGGGTAAAGTGGGTATTCTGTGGCAAGAATGCAATTGATAAATATTGTTAAGAAAGTGGACTACTAAATCAAGTCTTTCCCTTTAAGTATGGTTGTAAAGTTAAATAACACTGACAAGCCAGTTTGGAGTGAAGAAATACAAAACATACTCTCGACCAAAATGAAGAATTTACATCAAATTCTTTAATTTCCATTTCATGATGGTGAGAACATCCAGACTTCCAAGGCTGAATAAAGCTGAGTTAGTATTCTTCCAGCTCATGAGCTCTTATCAAGAAATTATCACAGCTGTCTTCTTTGTCTATTAAACAAATATTTTAGAAGTGAAGTAGTTATACACAATTAAACTTAATCTTTTGACTAAATATAACCTGGCATTCACGTCAACTTGTAATTTTATAATCCTTTAGATTTCATCACTTAAGACCATGTATTGAAGAATATTTCACCACTTCAGTCTTTTTACATACGTTGTATAACAATTTGTTTAAATTAGTACTTCGTGATTTTCTATGTTAGTGTATATAATTTTGAGTTATAAGCAACATTTTTCCACAAATTCTTCTGCTTTTTTTGTTTAAGAATAGCAAGAAACTCATTACAAACATTTGAAACCATAGACATGGAAGAAGTTATTTAATAATTGGCCTCTAAGAAAAGATGGCTGGTCAATTATAAACATCTGATTTAACGCTACCTTCACCATTGGGCTAGAATTGAGACCTGTGCTCAAGAATATCAATCTTGGGTCTTGACTGCATACACGCCCTCAAACAAAAGAGGAAAAAACATTCCAAACCATCAAAAAGTCAAAGAGTGGGTAAACGGACCGTAGTGAAGAGAATGGGCTGATGGATAATTGACAACTTAAAGAATCAATCAGCAGATACTGGAAGGTGGCGTCAGTCAATGTCCATCTTGCTTAATGTTTAAGGGCTAGTTAGAGATTGATCATGCATCCCTTAAACCAATTAGCAATAAACCTCACTTAATCTAAACCAGAATGAAAGGAGGTAATTCATCATGTCATGGTTTAGGCTTTGAGAAACTTTCTGTCACCAATGCACAGATCAAGTTTGAATGTAAAGTTATCCTCTGTCTAAATGGAAGCAGAAGACCTGCCGAATATTAGACAGAATGTCAACCCTTGCCCTAAACTGGACCAGAAAGCGAAAGTTGTAGTGTACCTGTAAAGTCACTGCCCTGCTTTAATAAGTATTATTTATATATTAAGCAAAGTTTCCAGAGTCAATGCACCAGACTGTCTTGTGTGGCCTATTGGTCAAACTTTCAAATAGATAAACTGATTTTGGGATTTGAATGCAAATTGTAACCCACAACTTAAACATAGATCAGAGCATGCGAGTAGTCTTTTGTGGGACTTGCATCATTGTATTGCAAAGACAGTGCAAGGTTACCAAACATTTGGTGTGCATTATATTCAGGCAAAACTATTTGTTGTGAATTATATATCAATATAACTAATTATAATGAGAAATATTATTTTCATATAATATTTGTTAAACATCTTTCAGTCTTTAATGGGCTTTAAAAACTTGTTTGTAAAACTGCATAATCTTTAATTAATGTAAGCAAATATGAAAAATGTCTTGAATGTAAAATGCACTTAAAATAAAACAGTAGCAAAGTTCAGTAGCAAAGTAATTGGTTTTGTGACCTTATTGAATTGTTGACAGTTATTGGACTTCCTTCCATTTTCTAATTATGTCGACATGTTTATTCTCTTGAACTTAGATGGGGTGGTGGGTAGGCTGATGCTGGACTGAGGTGGGGAATTTGTGAGGTGGCCTGTGAAGGGTTTAGATATGTGGGAAAGGAGAGATCGGGCATTGCTCACAATTTTGAATTTAAGAAAATTTTAAAGCCTTTCCAATATAGCTTTTGCTATTAAACATTCCCAATCCATGTCCTAAACCAGAGATTGACAGGTGTAGCTATTCCAGATTTAATTTCTTGGCAAGTACAGGATGTTGAGCCCAAGTCTCCAATGACAAGATCAATCTTAGATGTATACACATAAGATTTTGGGCAGCATAATTTTGCCCATTGGAAGTTTGAAGTTTGCATATTAGTATCGTGTCTGGATCCCATTAAGGCAACAATGGTGAATGTTTCAACATTACTGTAAACTTCACCTGGAAGATACACGGCATTAGATTCCACCAATCCAATCAGAAAATAATATTGGTTGTGCCTGCAAACGCGCATGTATTCAAACCACAGATACAACACAGAAGCTCGGATTTTGCCACAACAGACAGCAAAACCTCGAGAAGTTGACAAATCTTAAGTCCCACTCCCAAACCTACTACTTCTGAATTTTGTGGGGGCAGAATTGGGGCGATCTGTAGTTCATGCTTGTGCAGTCCCCAAAGGTATCGGGCTACTTAAATCATAGAATCAGAGCTATTTAAATGATCAGCTGGCTACAATGAAATTGGATTTTGGAGTCACTGCAGTTTGAACCCAGACTATTATGCAAAGTAAGAACATATCTGTTCTCAGTGCATTTCTTTTAGAGTTAGTGTAGCCTTTTGAAGAGGTAAAGTAACACTTTGGGGGTGGGAACTATCCTCTGCAATTGTAAAAATAGGTACGCCTATGTATAAAAAGCTCATTTTTTAAAATTGATTCACAAAATGTGGGGTATTACTGACTTGGTCATCAGATACTGTCCATCCCTAACCATCCTGGATAACATAGTGGGGAGGTGATTTTTTGAACTGTTGCAGAACTTGAGGTGCAGGGTCACTCACAATACTACTAAGAAGTGAGCTGCAGGATGTTGACACCACACAGATGACGGAATGACGATTTACTTCCACATTCGCATGATATCAAGAAACAGCTGAAAGCATTGACAATTATTGAGGCAATGGGTCCTGACACCATTCTTGCAATAGTACAGATGATTTACGCTCCAGAACTTGCCATGTCCTTAGCCAAGCCACTCCAGTACAGCTACAACACTGGGATCTCCATGCTGATGTGGAACATTGCCCAGGTATATCCTGTCCACAAAAGCAGGAGAACTCCAACCTGGCCAATTATTTCCCTATCACTCTGCTTTCAATCCTCAGAAAAGTGAAGGAAGTTGCTATTGACAGTGCTCAATACTCTGCTCGTTGATGCTGAATTTGGGCTCTGCCCAGCCTACTCAATTCCTAACCTCATTACAGCCTTGGTCCACATATGAACGAAAGAGCTGAAATCCAAAAGCAAGTGTAACTGCTGTTGACATAAAAGCAACATTTGACTGAATGTGGCATCAGGAAATGCAGCATAAAGTAATTTGGTTAATGAATATCAATCATATCAGCCAAAGGACATCGCTGTAGAGTTCCTCATGGTACTATCCTAGGCCCAACTATCTTCAGGCTGCTTCATTAATGACCTTCCCTCCATCATAAGACCTCAAGTGGGGATGGTTGATGATGACTGCATAATGTTCAGTGACTTTGCAACTCCTCAAATACTGAAACAAGCACTATCCAAATGCAGCAAGATCTGGACAACATTCAGGCTTGGACTAATAAATGGTATGTAACATTTTAGCCACACAAGTGTCAGGCAATGACCTTTTTGACCAAGAGGTAATCTCACAAGTGTCCCATAATTCAATGGTATTACCATCACTAAATCCTCCACTATCAACATTCTAAGGTTACTACTGACCAGAAATTTGCTGAACTAAGTACGATGTTCCCATGCATCTACTGCCTTATCCTTCTAGTTGATGGGTTTGGAAGATGCTATCATTGGAGTTAATCAATTCATCCTGTAGATAAACACACTGCAGACATTTGGATCAGTGATGAAGGTAGTAAATGTTGAAATAGGTTGCTTTGTCTTGGATAGTGTCAAGCCTCTTGAATGTTGAAGGTCCATTCATCCATGCACACAGATAATACTCCAACACACATCTGACTTCTGCCTTGTAGATGATTGGTAAACACTGGGGAGAAAGGAGATGCATTGTCTGGCACAGAACTCCTAATCTCTGTCTGGATATTCTATTTAAACGGCCAGCTGCAGTATGTAGATGTGGGGAAGATGTTGTTGATGGGGGTAACAGTCTGAGGATTCGAGGTAGACCATTTAGGACAGAGATGAGGGGGACATTTCTTCATCCAAAGAGCAGTGAGCCTGTGGAATTCATTACCACAGGACGTAGTTGATGTCAAAACATTGAATGTATTCAAGAGGTGGCTAGTATAGCACTTGGGGTGAATGGGATCAAAGTTATGGGGAGAAAGCAGGATTAGGCTGAGTTGGACGATCAACCATAATCGTGATGAATGGCAGAGCAGGCTCAAAGGGCTGAATTGCCTCCTCCTGCTCCTACCTTCTATGTTTCTATGTATATAGCTAGTCGAGCTCAGTTTCTGGTCAATTGTAACCACAGGATTTTGACAGTGTGGAAGTCAGCAGTGGTAATGCATTCAAGGGTCACTGGTTTGATCTTCACTTGTCGGAGATGGTCAATACCTGGCCCTTTTGTGGTATTAATTGTCACTTTTTAGCTCAAGTCCGAATGTCTTCCAGGACATGGACTGCTTCAGTATCTGAGGAGTCATGAATGCTACTGAACATTATGCAATCATCAGCATACATCCACGTTTTTGATGTAATGGCAGAGGAATGTTATTGAGCCTAATAACTTGAAAAACCCCTGCAGTGATGGCCAGAGGATGAGATAATTGATTTTAAACAACCACAGCTATCTTTCGTTTGTGCTAGGTATGAACAGCAAAAACATTTTCCTCCTAATTTCCATGGACCCCTGTTTTGCTATGGCACCTTGATGCCACAGTTAATTAAATGCCACTCACTCCTCACCTCTGGAGTCCAGCACTTTTGTCCAGGTTTTCACCAAGGTTGTAATAAGCTGAATAATCCTGGTCGACCAGAAACTGAGTATAATTGAGTAGGTTATTGCTACCAAAAAGCACTGGCGACAACTCCTTCCGTCACTTTGTTGATGACTGAGATGATGATTGGGACTGACAAAGCCAACAACGCTGTCAAAGAACTGTTCACAAAAATTCACAGTATGGAGTTAAAACAAACAACACTGGCCAGGTTTTTCACTGCTCCTGTTGACATAATCAATATAAGAGTTGTTTGTATGAGTGATCCCCCAAACTATCATTTTCACAATGTGGTGTCTATCAAACATTGATAGACAGCGCGAACTGTTTATAAAACGGAAATTGAAATAACTCCAGAGGTCATTTTCCTGTCACCAATCATCTTTTATTTACATGAGGAGAGTCCTTGACACTGATCCAGCTCCCTCAGAGCCAGCCCTCAGAGTGAACAGGATGTCTGACACTCCTGTTCTTACCTGTCAGTCAGGGCTTCCTGATTGGGGCTATTAATCTGATCTGAGAACTCATTCTATGAGGTCCATCTGGCTGATCTCATTATAATCACTGCAGAAATGCTTGGTTATACAAGGAATAAAGAACCTAAGTGAAATGTATTTTTTAAAAATAATGGATTATTTGAAATAATTTTAATGTATCAATTGTTTTTATGAATGAGTGCGATTTTTCAAAGCTAGAAGTCTATGTGGAGGCTGTGGCAGCTCTCCACCAGCTGAACACCCTATATATGTATATATATATATATATATATATATACACACACACACACACACACACACACACACACACACACACACACACA